TACTTTTTAAGAATGCATTCTTTGACAACAAGCACTCAAAACTAGTGATAGTCACTTAGGATTTCCCTTCCTGATCTTCGTCCTAACTTCTACGCAGCATGAGCAAGAGATAAGCACATGCTGTATAATAGCCCAACATTTTTCTCTGAGCTTTATTCTTCTATAAAATATGCTGTCTGGTTTCAGTAGTAGATCCATTCAAGTTATAAACAACGATGAATCGATGTACCAGTAGTATGCACCGGTTGCAATATTGCCTTGATAAGAACAATAATACTAGAGCAACCGGGTGCTCTTTTCAACATTGACACTTAGGTTCATCTTTGGGTCCAAGACTTTGCAACTTACAAACAATCCAAGATCACAATTAGCCGACAGTTTTGCGAAGATGGGTTGCACATATGGGTTCCAGATTTCACCATATCTCTAGATAACACAGGTAGTCCGATTTAAAGAAGCAATTAACATTGTCATTGTTGTCCACCGCGAGTCACGTCCTGTAAAGCCCCGAACTGGGCTTGCAATGTGTCGGACGACTTGCGCACGACTTGGCCGTCAGCAATTTCATTGTAAGCTGACAGGTTAGCGAGTGGTTATATCCGGTCTTTCTGCATCTGAGATACAGTGGAGTTAAGCAGGCATACTCATCACGGCCTCGACGTCTGGTAATTTGCGTACCCTAATTTGCTGGCCTGAGCAAATATCCCAGTCATCGCCGTCTGGCATACATCACCATTCCTCACCGCCGCGCTCAGGCTGGTAGCATGCAACTGAAGAGGCGCATAGCAGCCAGAGATAGTCGATTATTCTGAGGCCGTTGCGATCTTCAAAACTCGCTTGTAAAAAGCGTCCTTCACAATCCTCTTGTAGATACATATAAGCGGCACGTTCTAGAGCAAGTAAAAGGTCTCATACTGTCCAAACCAATAGTTTGGTCAGTGTCACAGGTATTGTCAGGCGACATATTGGGAAAAGATGTGGCATGTGCATAGATTTTCGAAATAAAAAACCAAATTATTGCCACTATGTCTCCAACTATGGCGAGAGTAATACAACGACTGTGGATAAAATTAGTTGTGCCCAAGATTACTGCCCACGCATTGGCACTGCATTGTTTTCACGGTGTTTTTTATATACACAGGATCACAATAACTATATTGTGCAGCCATGGGTTGTGCTTTCTGTAAGGCATCATGAGGATCAGACCATCAGCGATCTTTTACTTTACTGTTCTGTACTGTGCTGGGCTTATGGAACCTAATTATTAATGCAATTATTTTGCTATAGTGCAATGCATGCGAATTCTGTCGGCTATATATAGCTATGTCGTTTAAAAATGACCAATCTTGGCCTCAGATTGATCATTTCACAATCGGTTTCATATAGCCGGATAATGTAGAAGATTGCAGATCAAGCTGATCATCATTTCTTGACTCGGATTATGCTCTTGACTGTGCGAACATCTGCATGAGTTTTGAAGGGTCCCCGTAAACGTAGCACTGTAAGATAGATACAAATTATCTATAATGTCTCGGTTTGCTGGAGCTATCAACCCTCCCTGGCCAGCGCACTCACCTTGGATACACCACAGGACAGTGCTAAACACTGGATGTTCAAGCTGAGGACTATTATCTCGTCCACACAATCAGTCTGAGGTATTACTCAGCCCCACATGAAGACCCGGATCTCCACGCCCTTGCTGGATCCGTATTGGTCTATGCTTTGCTCCATCGAAATGCAACGTCATTCTCCAAGTTTGGCAAGGACGCACCTTTGTACTGACTCTTGGTGGTAATCAGCTAAAAGTATTTCATGAATTCAAGTGCCTGGGCAGTTATATTAGCGCCTGTGGGATCGAAGATGTGATTACAGACCATATAGCAAAAGTTCGAGGTACTTTTGCCAATCTTCACCAGCTGTGACGCCGTGCAAGTTAGCGTTTATAATGCAGCCGTCCGTTCAACCCTCTTATACGGTTGTGAAATCTGGTACAGCAGGCGGACAGAAAAATGGCCAGTCACATCCAATCATCGCATCTCTCGCCGTTTAGCTCATATCCAGTGGGAGTACCGGGTGAGCAATGAATGTGTTCGGCGTCGCATATGTGCTGCAGGAAGAGCGAGCGAACCGCTCAGCATCGTTATTTTGTAGCGAAAAAGACACGACAGGGGGGTAGACGTTTATTGCACACCGAAAATGGGCACATTAGGGTCTCACGCGCGCCATCGAATATCGACTAGATTTCCGTCCCACAACGCAACACAGGTACGGATGTTAGAGACGAGCCAGTCCTTTCGCCTCGGGAGCTCTGACTTGGAAGACCCGCCCTCCTGTTTTCGCCTCGATCTTCACTTCTCTCTACCCGATTTGGATCGGCCAGGAGTCGTTCGAGAGCTCTCGACTTGCTTGTTCTGGGCTGTGTCAATCGGCTCGGCCTCGGTCCTGTGGGCTGCGCTAGCGGCGTATATGTCTGATTTATTGCGCTGTCCACATATTCCCGCTCCGTAGTTCCGGCCCCAGGCTCGTCGCTAGCCGTCCTTCTCGATCCGCTCTCAGCTAGCTCCGAAGAGCTCCCCGAGGCATTCTTTGGAGTGACCCCTCTACAATATCACGCACGAGGCTCCGATGCATGTACCACGTAATGTACATGCAAGCACACCGACTACCGTGACGTGCGTTGAATGCGCTTCCGGGGTGTGGATGGATGTGAAAGGGGGCGTTCCAAGCGATGAGTCGGTGAAAGGAAAAACCTCAATTCGAAGCTCGCTTCCGTTGGTGCAACTTGTAGGACTAGTCTATACTAGTCCGAGTATTCTTCCTCTTGTGTGGATACCAGAAAACCAGAAGAACAGACATCACGGATTGTATTCGAGAAAGGCTACAATCGAACGAAAAACGGTTGAAGCGACGAGAGCGTATGTCAGTGTCGGAACTCACCGTGGACACAAGTGATGAGCCGGATGTAGGTAAGAATGGCCGTAGGGTCAGCATAAAATAAAAACCAATATTGTACAATTGAGTAACAAAAGTGTACATAATATAAGAAATATCTTTCGGGTTGCTACAATCCCGACTGCTCGGCTGGGATCCTAAGGACAATGAACATGTTTGGTTGAACACGCTTGATCATATGGGTAGGAGCTGGCCCCGATGGGTTTGTGTTATGAGTTTCTTTTCCACCCCTCCCCTTTTAGATTTGCTTTTCAGTGAACATTTCGGACGAAATGCACGACATAATATTTAACATTATAATATTTTGTTTTTGAACTTGTAGTGAAATATTTTAGTATCTGATCTCTTTACAATGCGGCACGTTAGATTAGCTATCTTTCTTACCCTCAGCTAACGTGTAGTGACGATGATTATTGACCGTCACATGAACATCCCAGAGGTGCTTGATCATAACGAAGTACGCCGTACTGTCATTCGGCAGCTAAAACAAAACCGATGCATTGGTCGGAAATGGAGGCCGTTATTCTCTCTGGCAACATCCGCAAGCACTTTCAACTCATTCCATCCCCTGGCGCAGGAAGCCTGATGTCAGTGAGACTATTTGTGAGGCGAATGGATCGCCGATTGCCAAACTACAGAGACACTTGGATCGATGAGCCGAAGATTTCCATTCCCATTTCAATTGACCCTCACCGTCCACTTGCTTGTCCCGTGAACCCTTCTACCCGGCCTGGGCCGTCACACTTCATCCATTTGGCGAAGCGGAAGTTTGTCCTGTACCACGACAACTAGGATGATTCAAAGCTCCCGGCTCTGATGGACTTCCTCAAGAGCTCCTCAAATACATAGGCGCAGTTATCATCAGCCAGCTAACCTCATTGTTATGCAAAATCCGGCATGAAGTAAAAGCGCCTTCCGCCTGGGGCGAATCAGTTGTTGTTTCGAAGTTTAGGAAGGGTGCTCGCACGTCATGTGCCCATCACCAGGGGATTAGTCTCATTTCTGCTGACTTTATGCCATTGCATCTATACTGCTTGTTAGACTATTCTTGATTCGAGAATCAAGTACCCGGAAGAACAAGCTGGCTTTCCTCATGGTCTTAGGTATGGAGCAACTTTTCATGCTTCACGAATTCGTCAAACACCCCCACGTCTACCAGAGGCATACCATTGTAGTATTTCCAGACATCCGTGCTGCATTCGACACAGTTGACTGATCTGTGCTATGGCGTTGCTTGCTAATGGACAGGGTTCCAGATAAGTAAAATGCCATCCTAAAGGCACTCTACCTTCACGTCTCCGGTAAAGTGAGGGTTTATGGCAAGCTTCCTTCGTCATTTGCTAGGTGTACATAAGGATTACTGTATGCCCCCGTCCCTCTTCAATTTTGTGACTGAAGACGTCATATCGAGAGCCCTGGAAAGTTACGAATATCTCTTGAATGCTCTTTTATACTTCGGCCATGCTCATTGACTAGTTGGGTCCGGTTACATGATGTATCCTTGCGTGTCTATTGGTACCAGAGTTATTGTGGTGCCGAAGCAGTTACGGAAACCGCTCTACTCATTTCATAATCCCTTGCTCGTGCTGCTCTAAACGGCGATTCTCCTGCAACTCAACTGGTGGTTTGCACAGCTGTTATTGGATGTGCTGATATTGAAGCACAACCGATCCCAGTTATCCGTTCGAAATAACTTTAAAATAGAACTAGTTAAGTGGATTAAGGTCTATAGACTAGTTTGAAAATCCTGGTTGTTTTTGAAATATATAAGCAATGGCCATTGTACTCGCAAGCGGAGGGCGCAACTACTATTTACTTCATGGAATGAAAGAGTCTACACTGCGTACACAACTCTGGTGAAGAATAACGACATAAGCGCTTGAAATTCTACAGCTGGCCTGAGGTCAATATACCCAGACACATGATCCGACGGATCACACCAGTTTCAAGTAGGTTCAGCTCAACTTTATTTCATGTAATCATTTGTTCCTTACTTAGTCTGTTCAATGCACATTTCCATCAAATTAAGTTATACCTTCCTATTTTAGGTTGCGCCAAAACAAAGCAAAAGTATTTCTTTTAACGAACAGTGGATTCAAATACACTAACGTAAGCATGATCTCATTTCTCATGCTTGACCTATTCTAACAACACCGTCAATGCTTTATCTCATGTATCAATTTGTAGTTGTAGTTTTGTTAGCAGCCATTGTTGCCTAGTGGATATCAGAACTGTGTTGTTGCTTCACCGGTACCTCGGAAGAAAATTTAAGGAGTGCTGTTTGAGCTGAAAACTAATGAAGGAACGCATTTCTAAAAGCCATATTGTCAGCTCAAAAGGAGGAAAATGTACAGATTTCTTGCATGAGATGTTATGGTGACGCGTGTGCACCAGTTTCGTGTTCGTTAAATTATTCACTTCCAGAGTCCTCATAGCTTTCAGTGTCGCAACGAGACTGGACCTTAACATTGTGCGACGGTGTGCGTACCTCCTTGAACCAGTTAGCCTTACTGGGTGCTGCCTCCGGGCACCTTGAGAGCCAATCCTACCAGGTTGGTTAATGGTTCCAGGTCAAAAAACTAAGTCACCTGGGCTTCCAGTTTGGAGGTTGGCAATTAGATGACTTTCATTTCTCTAAAACTCAATCATTGTCTCCACCCCGCTGCCTTACAGACAGGCTTTTGCGCCAAAGCCTTTGGCTGAGTCAGCTAATCGTCCTCCTGTCTAGGTTTGGGAGCCCTGGCATTTTCTCAGTCCACATACAACAATGACAATTTCCCCAACCTCCAATTATGTCATAAATCAGTCATCGAGCAGGTTAGCAAATGTCGCCTTATCTGCTTCATACAGCAGGGCGTATAAGCGAAAACATGCTACTACTGGCGCCTCCCTTCTTTCATTTGCACTTGTTTATCTTATCCCACTCCAACCCCATTACAGAGCTTCTATAATTCCCGACTTAATTGACAGCAGCCGAAGGGCAACTGGAGTGGAATCATCTTCACCCTCCATCCAGCAACACTAACCGGACTCCTATCGACAACAACCCATTATAAAGCTACGCTGCCTCACTTCCATGGCGGCCTTCAACGTTCGCACTCTAAGACAAATAGGTCAGCAGGCTGCACTCGCAAGCACCTTGGACACACTGGGCATTGATGTGTGTTGTGTGTCCGAAACTAGGATCAATGAACCTAATGATGTTGTTGAATTCATTGCGCCTGGCTTATCCTGTCGCTATTGGCAGCACGCATCCGGAGACGCTGCTGTAGCACGCACGCGTCAAGCTGACGTAGGTATCATGCTCAGCTCTACAGGTAAGCCATCGTGGATTGATTGGATTCCAGTGAACAGCTGTTTTGTGTACAGCACGCTTGAGGACATCAACTGAGCTTGATTCACCAAGTAGCACAAAAGGTTGTTTTTTTGGAATTTCCGCTTATGCTTCCACCGACTGTAGTTCTGATGTTGCCGAGGATCAATTCTATCATGAACTGAAAGCGCTACTACCCAGTGCTGCTAGTTCAGATACCATAGTACTTGCAGGGAATATGAACGCACAAGTAAGGCGTCTGAACACTTCAGAAGCTCTGCTAGGTAGTAGTTATGGGCCTAACTTCTAAAAGACGGACAACGACTAGCGTCTGTTTAAAATGTGTTCGGAGCACTAGTTGCTTCTTAGTAGTAACGCTTTTAGACACAGTGGGCGCCGAAGTGCCACTTTGTCTCCTTCTATAGCTAGCTAGCGATGGACCCAAATTGATCATCTTGTCATAAGTTACAGGTGGCCTTGTTTCCTCCTGGACTGCCGACGTTCCGGAATTCCTGCGTCAAATTTACTCATGCCTCAGTAGGCTGTCGTTACTCCGTGAACTCTGCCAGGTGGCGCAACAAGATTCTCCCCTATTGACAACAGAGAAATTGTCTCAGCATTCTGTCAGGCAAGGTTATCAAAACGCCCTACGTACCGAACGTCCATTGTCTTGAACTAATGACACTGCGCTTCAGTGGAATAGGATCTTGGCAGCTTGCACGGAGCAGGTGCATCTGCTTGTGGCACTATTAATCGCTACCGCACCAGTCACTGGAGATCCGAGAGGTAGGTGTATCAGTTGAAATTTAGAAGAAATCTCCCGGCTGGCTCTGTGCACCATGTAACCAGACGGACTATTAGGCGCGATCTAAAGCGGAGCCTGCGTGTCGACAAGAAAGCCTGATGTGCCAGTCGGGCTCGAATAATGGAGGAGGCAGAAGCACTAGGCAATTACCGCAAGCTCCTCCAACTGATCGGCACCACCGGCCCTACGAAACCAAGCGTCAGTGAGACCATGGGAGACAGCGCGGGTACACTGATGCACAATAGGGAATGGCATGTGGGGGGCTGGGCAGAACACTTTCAGGATCGGTTCATTTGGCCCCTTTCTCTCGCACCTCTTCCTACTCAGATGATGTAGGATGAGCCATGGACAGTTAGTTTAGAGCCTCCTTCGTAGGCTGAGGTCTGAAACGCGTATTCGTGCTGCTGGCCCGGAATCCCTCCTACCTGAAATATTTCAGGATGAAGGTGAGGCCCTCTGCAAAGCACTGCGCTCCTTATTCGAACATATCTGAAAGATGGAGACTGTCCCTTCTAACTAGAGTGAATCGATTATGGTGGCAATATACAAGAAGGACGGTTTCGAAGACTGCGCTAACCACAAGGGTATTAGCCTAACGCCAGTTGTGACACAATTTTTGGCCTCGATTCTCCCTCCTCAAGCCACTGCGGAGCGAGAATCACGGGGTAAGGAAGTGCAGACAAATTTCCGCCCAAAACATGCCTGTATAGACCAAATATTCACTGCGGCAGGTGCTCGAGCATCGTCACGCATGCCGCAGACCAACTAGAGCCATGTTCCTGGACTTCAAGAATGCGCTCTACTCTGTCGAAAGATGCCTTTTTCTAGAAACGCTTGCGCGGAAATGTGTTCCCACGAAAAATCCAAACATCTGACGTGCTTTACACTCGCACGCTAAGTGCCGCTTCACGGTCTACGGTGATCTGTCTGATGGCTTTCCGACCACAAGTAGCGTTCTGCAGGGTTGTCCGGTTTCCTCGTTTTTGTTCAATTTCTTGTGCATATCAACACGGAGTATTCCCTTACGGAATCTCACGATGTAGGATTTGTGGTCCTCTCTGGTGGAAGGTTAGTTGAGCTTGATTATGCGGACGCTATCGTCTTGCTTTTTCCGATGTTGCGGTTTGCGCTTCGCACCTTCAAAGTGCAAAGTTTTTATTTTCTTTGGCAATTACTGTTAGAAACGCGATCGGTAACCAAACATCTTGAGCGCATGTCACCGGGGTGGTTTAACGAACAGCTACCGATGGATCCTGAGAAATGCGTGCTTAACTTGTACACTTTCTCAATAAGTCGCTCATAACTTGAAGCCCTATCATTAGGGTTCAATTTTTTCAGTGCTACCAAAGAAATGCGACAGCATAGAATTTGAAGCACACTTCGAAAACTTTTATGACCAGATGTCTAGCTTGACTTCAGCCACAGACGTAGCATGCAGGATAAGCAAGACAATATCTAAAAAATGTAGTCGATTCTTGCAGACACTAGCCATTTTACTCGTGAATCAACAGGTGGGGACAAAACCGAGCAAGTTGAAAAAGCTATAGTTAGTGAACTGAAAAAGCTATTGAAAGCTGGATTGATTGACGTTAAAAGTATGACACAGCTCTGCTCAAGCGGACTCAGATTCCCCATGTGTACCGTTTACCCAAGACCCATAAAGGAAACGTCCCTGTGCGCCCGATCGTCGCAATGGTAAACGCGCCGTATCAGGAACTGGCACGATGGTTAGCTCACCTTATCGAGCCTATCCGACATGAATTTACTGGATACACTATCAAAGATACATCCGAATTCATCGACAAATACGATGTTTAAAGCTAGAAAGCATATACATGGTTTCTTATGACGTGCTCGTTGTTCGCTAACGTTGCAGTGGAAGAAACGTTAGATATCATAGGCGTTCACGCTGACAAAGTGGGATTTCCGGTATGGCATTTTAAGTCACTATTGTGATTGTACACAAAAGACAATCAGTTCCAATTTGATGGAACAATCTATCGTCAGGTAGATGATGTGGCCATGGGGAGCCCGCTTGGTCCAGTCTTGGCTGATATTATCATGGGTCACTTGGAGAACACCGCACTACGTGATAACAGACAAAATGTGAATTTATACCGTAGGTACATTGAGGACAGGTTTGTTGTGGTTGCTACTGTTCGGCAGGTAACGCACTTACTCCAGGTTCTAAACGCGTGCAACCCCGCAGTGAAATAAATAACACGTTCCACTTTTTGGATGTAAATTTAGCGAGGAATCCATGCCGTACGCTCACTCGATCCGTGTATTGCAAGCCCACTTGGACAAGACAGTATTTAAGCTTTAACAGTTTGTGCCTTTTAAGGTATGAACGAGCCTTGGTTCCCACCACGTTTGAGAGAACTCGTAAGATTTGCTCCGCAGATACTACCAGAAGTGAGTTGGAGCACGTATCCTCAACATTACAGAAAGGCGGATACCCTAAGATATTTGTAATAAGACACGCAAACAAGGAAAGCAAAGACAAACGACTGACTCACGTCCCCAATAAAAAGTGTTTATTACGCTGCCACTTAAAGCCGACCAAAATGATAGAAGATTCCTACATCGTCTCCACAAAATGACAACGAAGTGTTATTATGCTGCCGAACTTGTGTTATTGCACCAAGTAAGGAAGTTGCTATGTAAATCCAACCTTGACAAGCCAGACCCTCTAGTTACTGCCTCATGTGTTTACCTCTTTCATTGTACTTGTGGTAGCAAGTACATGGGCCGAACAGAGAGAAGGCTGTCAACAAGGATTTCAGAGCACAGTCCCCGTAATATGGTCGCGAACGGTTCCAGTCTGCCTGTAAAGTCCATTGTCCAACACATCCTAGGCTGCTCCGTATGTCAAAATCCCCACCAATCCTTCAGGATAATTAACACAGAGCAATCCTAGCCTGCTTCGTTTTGCTGCAACTTCAGAAGTTCGGCGGCTGAAACCCAATATATTTTTGAACGCAACCCCATTTTCCAGAGACTATATGTTAACAGCTGCTGAGAATACCCAAAATATTTGACTTCAGATTATCCTGTTGATATGTTATTCCTTCCTTCTATCTTAAAATTCTACATGAGAGTGCAAAGTGTTGCTGCAGGACCACCTGCCATTTGGTGGGCCCTTAACCCTTCATAGCGAGGAACTCGAGGTAGTTGATCACTTCAGTTAGATTATCAGCTGCATCAGCAACCATTGCCTCGTCGAAACTGAAGTCAGTTCACGCACGATAAAAGCCAGAACTGCGTTCTTGAACCTGCGTCATGTTTGACGGCAGAAGGGAGTTCCCCTCTATCTGAAACGTCGTACTTACGAGGCCACAGTGAAGGCCCTCCTACTCTATAGGAGTGAGACAGCCCCTTCGGTCTGAAGCTCTGGGGTGCCTTCAAGTCTTTGATCATTATTGACTGCGGAGCATTGCTGGTGTCGGATAGCATCAGCGTGTCCTGAACGAGGATGTGCGTAGGCCAGTACTAGTCAGTGATAACGAAACTAGTTCCTTAGAACAACAGATAGCACTGCATAAGTTGCGTTGGCTTGGGCACGTACTACGTATGCCTGGTCACCGCTTACCGAGGAGGGCCTTATTTTGTCTGCCAGATGTGGAGTGGCGCAAAGCTCGAGGTGGACAAAGTTGACTTGGAAGTGGGAAATGAAGTTAATGACGACCAAGCTTGATATAATCGGTCCGTCTCGCTTTCCGAGCTGGAGTCCACGTGACCCACCCTGTGCTTTTCTCGAGATCTTAGAGGAATTGGTTCGCAGTCGACACCAGAGGCGTGTCTGCTGTCGTCTCCTAGTCGGACCGCCTGTTTAATGTATGTATGTTGCTCACTTATCCGCGGGGTAATGCCTGATTAGGAGGCGAGGCAGTGAAAGCCGCAAGAAAACTGTCTCGCCGATACCGCCTTATTTTTGCGAGATAGTCGGCTGTTTGTGACGCAATGTTGTTGACACAAAGTGTAGCCGCCTTGACCCTGAATGTTTGCTTAGGGCAGTAAGGTTTTTTCCCGAAATGATTTGGAATAATGATAGCTCGGGAGGCTTGCAAACGTTCTGCCACCATTCGAGGTGACATCTTCAGTGCGGGATTGATAGCAGTTAAGCAGCAGTACCTGGCAGAAAGCAAACCCATTATTGGGTTTGCAATCAAGTTGCCCAGCTCGGAGAACTCCACAACAATTGAGCAAGGTTCTTCCCATTCTCTCTTATCATTCATTACTCTATAGATCATCATGATGGTATGTTTACGAAAAACCACTTTAACTGGCTGATGTACTGCTGTGGTTATTGTTGTCGCTGTTGTTGTTTTTGTTTCTCTCAGGCAAGTAATAATCCAAAGTTCCAACGGCGACTAAAGTTTGTCCATTGCTAAGTAAATATCTCAAAGCTCAAATAGCCTGATTCTAACAAATATTTTGCGCATAACCACAATCGTGGATCTTATGCATTTATGGTTAGGCACGCAGTAAAATTCTAACCCATGTGTTTGTTTAAAGAACACCGAAGTAGGACTGCCGTTCGAGATTTTACTTCTAAACTCACTTTATTAACACAAGACGATGAAAATAGTTCCATGAAGAGCCACTGAATTGACAAAATATGCAAATTTACTGGTAATGCTCTATATTGTATCAAAAACGCAACAGATTGTACAGTGTCCTAGGACTTGTCATAGTATAAAACTAAGTACTTTACTAGATTCGATAAGTCGTTTGTCATAGTTAGCTACTAAGTAGATAAGCACTGCTACCAAACATGAATACGGACTAATTCGTTTGGGGCTTGATACTTTTAGCGGCACTCAATGGAAAAGGTATTATTTCTTCTTAACTAACGCCGTTTAACTCTCAGCGTTGCTGCCTTGTTTCTGAACTGACTGATCACAACGATCCACTAATCGATTTACACGGAAATAAACGCATTGGATGAATGAATTAGAGCCATTGGAAGTTATGTGAATAGTTATGTCAGAACAAGTTGTCCATGGGATGCACCAAGATAAGAGCTGGGTTTACTTTATCCCGACATACAACAGTTTGCCTGGTAACGAAAATCAACATTCAAGTTGTAACGGGGCTGAGAGAGAGGCAAAACGGAATAACTTAACACTATACACGAAATCATAATCGGCCCAAATTACTACCAGTTATACTCCATGAAACAGACACCAAAAAGCAATCACTTTTATAATTTGTATTAGGTAGTGGATTTGTAAAAACTGATTTGGCTGATGCCTCAACTTGTGTGCTTACAAACAGTATATGTCCTCCTGAGCAAATAGCTGTGCTGACCCCTACTTATCTTTATCATACCACCAGACGGTCATCATGCTTGCACCACATCAGTGTACCAAATTTAAATGACGTACACCGAAGGGATGGATCAGCTTTGTAGCAGACAGCGCGGTCAGATAATTTAGGACCCAAAAAGCTATTGTCAGACGGTGGCTTTTGATAAGAAACTGATGGCGAAAACCACAAAGGCATCGAGTCAAAAGTGCATATTCAAGTTAAAACAGATGGCATCAACGCAGTCAAGGGAACCCTTAGTATTTTCACTCGAATTGTTGGCATACCATGTAACGGACTTACCCAATATACTGATGTTACCGACAAGATCAGCATTTCTGTCACTACCCTTGGTATACGTCCTCTCCCAGAAATTAGGGATCTGCGGAACCAGATTATTACAAAATAAGCCACATAAATTAGGATACCAGATAGTTTGAGAAAGTGCAAATCATAACTTCTACTACGAAGAGAAAACCCTTTAGAGTATTCCAGAATGGAGGCTCAAGATTGCATCTGGGGATTCAGAAGAAAATTGGTCAAGTGCATCGAAACGATCACCAAAACACTTTAGTCAGCAGAAAGATTATGCTTGTTCATTATAGCTATTCGCAGGTCCGATTAGTTCAACCCCAGTCCGGAAAAGCACTAAGCGATCAATTCGCGTTATTGAGGCTTGTCACTGGTGCGCCTTCTCTCGTTCTCCTGCTGGGCATCGAACCTGTGTTACGCCAAGTAACCGAGAAATTATGCCATTGAGCCATGGGGGACGGAGGCAGGCCGACTGAACTTGCAAGCTAACTGGGATGTAGCGCAACCTATCCTACACTGCTATGCAGATTTCTACCATTGCAGAAGATGGTGGCTGGCCTCCTTCGCATGGCATTTGAAGACTGTGTGGGTAAATGTTTAGATTACTGATGATTAATTTTTTAGCTGACTCTTCAAGTCTGGGAGTGTTCTTTATTTTATACGGAAGCAAGATACTGTTATTTGGAGAAGTTAAGGGCTCTGGCTGGGGAATATTTCACCCACAAATCATGTCTTCCTATAAAGGCAAGAATTATCAGTTATTTGATTTTAGGAAACGGTTTACAAAAGGGTGCAAACCGAATTTAGTTATGGATGGAAGCAGCCATACGTTGAGCAACTGACGGTGAATAAATTCTGTACGACAGCCGGTTACAGAGGGAGTAGAAAATGATTCACATGAACCGAAAGATTACAATTACGTAATTATTACTTCCTGCAAGACCCTGAGGGTAAGGGATCCGGATGACGACTACCGTACAAGTTCTATCACCGCTGGCTAGAGAATGGGAGGTATTTCAACTAAAAGGTCACGCACCCTACTAGAGCATCATGGATGGATTTACATCTAGTAAGAGTGGAAGCCATAGGGAATCTTTTGCTAGATAAAGCAGACAAGATAAAGATATCTCTTCCCCGAGCCATCTCAGGCAGCGTTGAGAACTTTTACTACTTCGAATTAGTCACACATTGTCTTATGCACATGTATGCAAACACCGTTATCAGATAGTAGGTTGGATGCAGATAATATCAACAGCGAAACACCAGTTTGCACAGCCATAGTATGAATATAGAAAGGCTTATCACCTAACGACTAACGCAAGTGTTATGTTACGTACGACATAAGGTGCGTCATGTTTCACGGCTACATGTGAATAATTAAGATTAACTAGGAGCAGTTTTCATGTCATGATTTTGTAATAACGTTACAACTGTCTCCTCCGGTTCCTTAGTAACTTCTGACATTTCAGTTCTTCAAATTCTCTTTATCTTTTGCTTTAAAGGCTATTATGACCCATATGCTGGAGATTCCAAGAACAGACGTAAGTGTATTATCACAACAACTGTTTCTTCACTTACCTTGCTGCCTTCATTCTACTTTGCGTAAATGAAGAATATGATTCCATATATTACACAATACACCCGGTACAGATGCATTAGTCCAGACGTACCGCTATTTGCTAAGCGTACGTATATAAGACTGATTTAGGATTCTGTTCGACAAACCATCTGTTCAGTAACAGAGTGCACGATAGTTTTATTTAAATAAATATTGGGCATGTTTGCGCAATATAACAAATACACCAAATGTCGCATAATAACTAATACACGATCCCTTATTAAATGATGGTGCCGCAACGTTTCTTCTCTTTGCTTGTATGGAGCTACAGATGGTCATTCTGAGTCATCCTCTACTGGCTAGTAAATATTAGACATCCATCTACCTTCGCTGCATTCAAGTGTTTTGCGGATTTGTGTCAGAGTAACTCAAGTCTCGCGACATTCAAGAAGAACGGATATTACTTTTTGAATTAAAATTTAAGAGTACAACAGTACTATCACTGCACTAATAAAGAAATCCCTCTTTGTAGTATACAAAGCCACAGACCAGTACAGTTGGGCTACCTACAACATAAACTGCTCACCTTCACTGTAGTTACTGGACGCGACTGAACTTTGCAACTAGTGGCCAGCAAAACCCCAACATGCCGAGGAAAAGCCTGAAGGGGTTGATTTTTAGGTTCATTAAAGTGCTTGCGCAATTGCAAGTGAATTAGACCTTGTGCATTATATATCGACCTAGGGAAACTGAGTACAAATGTGTTTCTCTTGTTTTTATCAGGGTACAGTCAGAAAATGGACATCTTACTTTGACTATATTGTAATTGATGCAAAAAAACCGGAGTTCTTCCAAGAGGGTACCATCTTGCGATTAGTTGCACAGGTGAGTAGTAACTTTCTTTGCACATTCAATGTGTCTAGGATATGGAGTATGGTGGAAACTGTGGAGATTACGCAGTGAAATCCGCCTCAGCTTGCTGTGCACATAACGTTGTCGCTGTTAACTATAGCGTCAGTGAAGGTTCTTAGTTCTAATCATAAGCATAATAGGATGACATAATAAACGTATAAAAATCAATTCCCATCATGTCTAAGATTATTGTCAGGGTAGGGAGCGTAAGTGCAATATTGTACGTGATATCATATGGAAGATTCTCAGCGAATCGCAGTGGTACCAGCCTGAGTTGCATAATTATTTTTCGTAATTCATCTACGGGCCGTGTGGAAGTCCAATAAGGTCAAGAAAGTTAGGTAAACCAAGTGTAATTAGGAAAACGCTTTAAATGTACATATGCATGATCAAGTTAGAAAGTTTGGAATCGAACGTTAGAGTACAGACCACTGTACAAGGTCATAGTAGTTAAGGTTTCACTTAGGAAAAAGAAGATGCTTTACTCAATTCATTTAACCCAGTACGTCTGAGTGTCGGATAATTCATTTGCCTGCAGACCCTAGCGAGTTTTATAGAGTATTATAGTTAAGGTTACAAAGTTTGAGAGAATAATAACTGATTCTGAAGACATATAAATATCAGACCAGAGAAAGTTGTGTGTATCAATTCCCCATAGCTATCGCGTTACTCATATTTTTGACGAAGCGTAGGAAATGTGGTGACTCACTTCATGGTTTGTGTTGCAGGGGCCTTGAACCACAAAAATGTTAGAAACGGATTCCCATTTATTTAAACAGCAGTATACAGTGACACAACGACGCAGGGGTGGTATTTAAAACCAACAACTTGATCAGGCCCTCCTTATTGGTGATTGTCATGTTGTGTCAGTGTTTCGTTCACTCGTGAGATTTGAGGACAGATGAGGTATGAAATTGGCTGACAAAGTTCGGTCTTGAACCGCACCCAAAGGGGATGAAACTTTATGTCTAGTTCTGTCAAACTTCTAAGTGGAGATTGGACCGCTATCATTTGCTGACGTTGAACGGAGCCGATGTAGAATAAGGATCACTTGGTGTGTCATTTATTCAGTCACAGCTGACAACAAAGTGACTGGATTTGGTGCTAAGTACCGTAAGGTGTTTGGGGTTCACCCTGAGGTATATGCGATATAAATGATATAAGTATTCTTGCCAACAACTGCTTTTGTGATATGTTGTTAAGTATATTGCAGATGTATGCAAAGATGTGTAACTCGTCCGCTTTACCTATGGGTCCATCTTCCTGTGTCAGCCGTCAATAGGAAACTTTTTGTGCATGAAAGTTGCGGTCTTGCATCTTATGAATGGATGTTGGAGCCGCTTTTCCTTACCTGAGATCTAATTAGGTTCTCTACTCCCTGTAAGATGTGCTAACTAACTGAACCATCTATGCATCACGGAATTGTCGGTATAGTATTGGATTCTTCTCGAATTATTTTTCCTTACGTTCTTCTATAATTTAGGCCTCAGGAAAGCGCAGCATCGGACATCACATGGGCGCATTAGAGACAGGAAACGTATACTCTGGTGGTAAGTGGGATTTAATTATAAACACCAGTTTTTGGCTCAGTCTTGCTGAGCAGTTCTTAACCGCCATGACAAGGATTACTCATGTAGTACACTAATATTCAGCTTTCTGCCAGAAACTTCCGGGTCTTAATTTTAGCTGTACGAGGAGTCCAAAAGAGATGATGAAAGTGCTAGCGAATAGGTGAAATGGTGCATATCACCGATGCCAAGTCCAAGTCTACAATCTCATATTGTCCAATAAGCAAGACCCATTTGCAATAAACTATAATTTTTTAATTCGCTTGTTTCGAGAATACCATTTCATGGTTACGACCGTCGTGATAAGACATATAATTTCCAAACTTAGCTACCTCTATTTGATCTTCCACGTGTGCTAGTTTGCTAAAACTTCAGTCCGTTGTAAATGACAGCATCATGAAAGCACCTGTACTGTAAAACCTCATAATGATGGCTACTCGCATTCAATTAAATGGAGACACTGCGCATGTCAATATCGCTCATTCTCTTGTAGCGTACTTCCATCACAGCCAGAATAGTTCTTGATGTAATGCGATGTTACACGTGTCTCAACAATGCCTAAATGTCCTCTGGACCTATCCTCTTACTCAGAAGTTAGAAGTGAAATCAGTCTGTTGAAGTTTAATAAAGTTGCGACTTCAACTGGACTATATCCAGCTCGAGGAGCACAATGACAATGAACATGATGGCCGCCAACCACTAACTACCGTGTTTCACTCCCATCTCAAGCTCGTTCAACCTGATGGGTCCAGCTAAGGATGAAATGCGTCATGATTTGCGGTGCTAGGAAAGGGCGGCACCGAAGCCTTCCACGCCGTACAACCCACCACAAATCTGGGGACTTTCTTGTTAATGATTCCTACGATCAAGCAGTGACATTTGGGACCAGGGAAGTGCTCCAACCGACTGGACCTGCGCCGTTGTTGTCCTACTCTTCAAAGACGGCGCATATTCAGAATGTAGCAATCAGTAAAATATCCGTTCAACCTTTAATGCCTCCGAGTGACATTCCGCTGTCTTTCGCCATGGACTGACTGGCGCAAGCTAAAGTCAGATTCTTAGAGAACAAGCGGAACAAACGGAATTACATCAATCTCTGACAACTCACAAACGTGCCAAGCAACATTGAACAGATTATACTGGCTGTCAGTCTTTTCGGGCTCTGCCTTACATCAACAAACCAGGACATTTTCATGGTCTGATGGTGATCATCTGTGATGATCCCTGTTCAGTAGTTTAACTAATCGGACAGCTACATCAGCGCCTCTGCAATATAACCTAAAGTGCCAACCATTATAGCAAAAGCTAAGGGTGCTTTTGCTAAGCATCGGCACATGTGGAATGGGTGAAAAAACGAGGTGGTTTCCGTTGTGGCCGTGGGTGTGGACCAAATTGTTACGCTGCACCATATGATCGAACCCAACCACTACCAGTGGACTACCATAGTTACATTCCTAAACTTCCGTGCTGCATTCGACTCGGTTGATTGACCTGCGCTATGTCACTGCTTACTAAAGAACAGGGTCCCAGAGAAGTATATTATAACCCTAACCGCACCCTACCTCCGAATCTCCGGCAGGGTGAGGGTATATAGCAAACATTCTTCTCCCTTCATTGTCGTTAGCGGTGTACAACTACGATACTGTACGTCCCCGTTTCTCTTCAATTTTGTGATTGAAGACATCTTGAAAGGTTCAAAGCTGAATTTAAGGAGCACGCTTTGTGGTTGGGTTGCGACTCGCAACCTCTATTGAGACCTCGGCTCACTTTGAGGTAAACCTCGGTCATTTCGATCTCGAGGACGGTATTCTGAATGGATATATTTTGGGTGTTGCTCTTCCCAACACTGGCACACCACGACCGCGGTTTCGTCTTGGTTTAGATTCGTCAGGTGGAGATAGCCTGAGTTGGGGTGGAACTCAGTGCTTAGTAGTTTATGGCTGACGCCGTGAGCACTATGCTACTGAGCTCCGCGAGCAACGCTTGGCACAGCGGAGAGTAATTCAAAGCTGAATTTAGGGAGCACGCTGTGTGGATGAGTTGCGACTCGCAACCTCTATTTAGACCTCGGCTCACTTTGAGGCAAACCTCGATCGTTTCGATCTCGAGGACCGTATCCTGATTTATTTTGGATGTTGCTCTTCCCAACACTGACACACCATGACCACCACCATCCTGAAATGTTACAGAATTTTTGCTCTGCAGCTACTACCGCGCGAGTGAGCGACGGACTTAAATTATGCACTACTTGGTGAGGACTCACGAAGACTCAAAACATTCTGAACCGTTTGGCGATTGAAGCATCTTTGAACGGAATGTGCTTGGCCCCGTCGAAGTGTACAGTGCTGCTCCATGGTTAGCATCAGTCCATTCTCATGCTTACGCTTGAAGGTACACCGCTTTAACAAATGGATAACTCTGTGTACCTGGGTATTTGCATGTTTGCCGGTGGCGCTATTGAAAGATAAGTTTCCATCCGTCTCGCCAAAGCTCGGTCGGAATTTGTCAACCTGAAACACCTGTGGCGTCGGGATATCTTTTTCCTTGTAAAAGGTCGTGTTTACTATGTGTGCGTTTGGGCGGTGTTGCTATATAGATAAAAGTTTTGGCCAGTTCGCGTGGATGAAATGTGCTGTCTCTCGGAATTCGTAAGTGGGCGCATGCAGAGAATTGTTCTTCTGTGGTATCAACAACGTATTTGCAACAGTGAAGTCAGACGTCGTGTCTTGGGGAATACAGGTTTTCACTTCAACTAGCTGGTTTTCTGCGTCAGTTAAAATGTCTCTGTCACACCCTGCCTATGTCAGCTGAGTGTTTACCCTGTCGCGCACTATTCGCTCGGATAAGACTTAGTTGGAAGGAAGCGCGCAGTCGTCAGCTATCCTCCTGACGACAGCATGGAAAATCATTGACTTCACGTCTTGATGCCGCTGGATGCACCAACCTACCTGGTTAAGGACCAAAGGACAAGGTGTGTTGACGGCTGGAAATAATTCAGAATATGGTGCGCAATCGCAACCGGTGGAAGGTCTGCGTATGTACTTGTGTAGATTCAAATACTTAAAGCTCAACAATAGTAAAAGAAAAAGGAAACAATTGTTCCGTTCTTCTTCTGGCGCAGTAGCTAAATTATGTTGCTTACTTTTAGCTAACTTACCATTATGATGATGGTGCGGCGATCAAACCTGTCCACTCCCGTAGATTTCCATGGTTTTGTTTGGCCTTATCTAATCTTCAGACTGTTCCTACTACTGCTCCTGCTACTATTACTACTACTACTGCCACTACTACTATTACCACTACTACTACTACTACCACTACTACCGCTACTAATGCTATTACCACCATTACTACTACTAATGCTACTACTATTACTACTACTTCCACTACTACTACTACTACTACCACTACTACTACTAGTACTACTACCATCATTACTACTACTACTACTACTACTACTTCTACTACTACTACTTCTACTACTACTACTACTACTACTACTACTAATACTACTACTACTACTACTACTACTACTACTGGAACAACAACAACAACTACTACTACTACTATTGCGTAGAGCAGGTGTAGCATCACTCTCGCCAAGAATGCAACCATTCTTTTAACCCTTCTGTAAGTTTGTGCAAACTCACCATCAGCTCGATAGATGTGGTGAGCCCAGTTGCGTTGGATCACCGGTGATTTCTCAGTTTGACTCTCGTCTGGTAGGAACACCGCGAGAGCACCGACCGTGTCTGACTCACTGCCTATGGAGCAGAAGGGGAAGTGAAGTGCTCAGCACCGTTATTTCACGTGCCAGGCTCCGATGATGACGCTGTCTTTTATGCATGATGCACACCGGCTCCCGCGGAATGCTCTGGTTGAGCGATCAGGGTTTGAGTGGAAGATTAGGATTTTAAGTAAATGAGGAATGTGGGCACTGACTTTAAAATTGTTCTACCTTATTACCTACAGACTTGCGGGTTAGGGCTCAAGAGATGACGAGTACGCTTGCGTGTAGACACCCGTTAACATGAGAAAGCGTCGACCCAAGTGACCTACGAGTTGCACTTCTTTGTTCCTGCTATCGACCCACGATCTCATTAGCTACGTGTAATCGAAAAACGATGTAAAATTAAATGTTACTTGTTTTCTCTTTTGTCTCCTGCTTTCTTTTATGACTATTGGACTGTGGTATATTGCAACTCAACAGCATGGGTGTGTCCGGTGTGTATGTGTATACGATGCTAATTTTTGTAGCATTATTATTGATGCTGGTGCATCAGTAGTAACTATACTTATACGGCGTCCACCAGCATCTCCATTAACTGCCATCTCTTGACAGGCCCTATTGAGAAAGCATTCATAGAAAGTTGCTTTCTTTTCTTACATGACAAGATCGATCTAATTGCAAGTTCGTTCTTTTAATCCTAACACAAAATACAAGTTTAAGCCGAGCCAAACTGCAAATTTTAAGCCGAAGAATATTTGTTTGCATGTGATCCAGGTTTAAGGCAAACCAGCGAATTGTATCCAGGCAACGGATAATATCGTGTATGAAATGAACAGTTTTAGTTTCACAGGACATTATCATCCTTTCTATTGACCATTTCCAGCTTCATTCCTACTTCTATGGTGTAGGTGCTTTACCTCAGTTTAGCTAGCTGACACATTAGTGGGTGTGATGCATTACTTATCGAGAGCAAGTCTAGTGTTCTACACAAGTGTCATAAAAGTACATCCTAGCAGGCAGGCTTAGTGCGCAAGATACGCATTAAGTATACTTTTTAAAGCAAATGTTGTGCTATCCTGTTATGATAAAAGTTACACAGATATTAATGAGTCTGTACACGCTCAGTATTTAGAATCTACTTTACTTTATTGCTGTGGAACATCTCTCTACATAAATTTAGCTGCAACAGGGTGTATATAGCAATCGAGTCTTGCTCATTCCCCATTGGCACGACATCGGAAACCATGACCAAGAGATATTGATAAGAATTCGAAATGGAAACTGTACAAATCTCTTCTAAGGCACTGGATTCCCCATGCATCCATCCGGTTGCATTCTTTAGTGACTAATTAGACTAGGAGCTTGTTCCCATTGATAGCTTTCCACTCTACGTGATCTGTCAAATAGGGTGCTACTGATCCTACGGGTTCGATTTCCTTATCCGAGTTGGAATAGCCTTAATTAGAGACAAATAATGAATCTATACTTTTTGAAAGGGATAAACTTACGTTGATACTAAATGTTGCTTAGATCAATGGAGGTCGAAAATTTATAATGAACCACTTTTGCTTGCTAAGCTGTATAAGTTTTTAGGATTCCAGGACCGAAATCCTGCCAATATCCTCGCATAAACACCCACGCAACGCTCAAGGGTGTAATCTCGGAGAACAGGTTTGCAGGCGCAAGACCTGCGTGATAGGACAAAGTACGGGAACCACACATGGAGAATATTTATGTGCCAGTATTCACCAAAAGATAAAGTGAATTAAAGTGGTATGTCCTTTTAGTTTCTTGGAAGATGGATACGCTTTACGTGCTTCATAGATTTCTTGTCAGCTAAAGACTGAAGAGGACCAATGAAGCAGAACGTGTTCAACTGGAATCATTCAATGAATGATCTACCCGAGAAATATTCACCCTTTATCCTACAACTTGTAAGAAGGGCAGACTCGCATTAGTTCATTCCTGCTGTTACACCGCAATCAATTTCTACACTGAGCGTTGGTTTCGCACATCGTCTCCCAGAATGTCTACAAGATATGGAGTGGAGTAAAAGGCATCCAATCCCTTTTTCATATAAGTATTACTGCATTTCAGGGAATTCCAAATTATCAAGAGTGCAACTAAGTGCTAGCCTACAGACACAAGTCGAAATAAAGAAGGGATGAAATGGAGTTGGTGAACTTGTGACCGAATTCAAGAACGATCGGGAGCAATTGAAAGAATGGTAGGCTCCAAGACTGTAAATAAATACACCGACGCAACCGCTTTGCGTATGATTCCTTTCATACTCGGTAAAGCTCAAGCGCAACCAGTTGTACGAATATTACGTTGATAAGTCGATGAATTATTGGAAATATATGAAAAAGCGACTGTAAATTCGTGCGACGGGTACTGCTGCTTTCCTGGATAGGGACTTTCAGGTAGGCTGTATCAGTAGGTAGGTACTCTTTCTGACTAAGCGCTTTCTTTTATCCAGTGCCGCCTATGCGCTCAGCAACTTGCGTCCAGTTAGTGGTACTGTAATCCGATTGTTTTAGTTACTTCTCAAAAACCCATTCTTAATCGCGTGTAATATCTGCTCAATGTATTTGAATCACCATTTTGGATTATTATCATGTTGGCGATGAAAGTCCAGAAACTTTGATTCACCCTATTTCATTGATCTATTCCCAGTAGTTCAATTGAAATATACTACCTGATAGTCAGACTGTATTACCCTCTGGTAGAAAGTGCATTTTTTTACATGTTTACGGTTCGGCAGGTACCAAACAACATAGAATCTCAAAACAGTTTCTCGTGGCAGTCTTCCTTGTCTTGAATGCGCCTTCTTGTGGCGACGAATGAGTTTGAAAGTGGTGCCAGCAATTTGTTCTATTCCATGGTATATCATAGGATGACTTCCGAGGGGTCCCATGGTTTGGAGAAACTCACCCCTAGTTCGTGACGACTAATAGTCTTACAAAGGACCCTTCTACCTATTTTCATTTTTCTGTGCTTTAGGTTCTGTCCTGCGATTGGCTTACGGCATGTGAATAAGTCAGATTTCTTTATTTAATACCCAATCACTGCACATGCAGTTTTACACTAGCTTTTGCGTTGCGCTATGCAAAGCAGTATGTGCATAGTAACTTTATATTGAAATGATTTGCCACAGAGACGGGGTAACAAGTAATCGGTTCCCACCATCTATGAACAACCGTTTAAATTGGTTAAGTGCTTGGCCTACTTGGATAGCTGCTTCGTTTCTGATGGTGGAATCATCAAAGTGATTGGGCTGCACTCCCTGGTGACGTCCGAAATCCTGTGGACAAAGTGGTCTACCAATTTGTTTTGCAATTTTATTATCTTCTTAGCACAACCGCAATTCGGGGAAGCATCAGATGCGTTTCGTACAACTGGGGCTTGTCAGTGTTGCGCAAACAGAATCCCATCGTTGATTAAAGTCGTGGATACTGCGTGCTGGAGACAGTAATAGGTCGACTGTGTTTGAGCAAGAACCTTTAGGAAGTATCGCTCATGCGTGGTAGAGACACGGATTTAATAACTCTAAACTTCGTCATCAAGCTTTAGACAGTAAACGCTTAGTTGATAGATGGAGGTAGTAGTCGTTATTGTTCGAACGGCCTCGACCGGTTATCTCATAAGGTTCTAAGGCGTACAAACCGTAGGATTTTGCATCACGTTCCCGAGATGCCCAATTCAAGAAGCAGTAAAAGTGTGTCCGAGCAGATTCATCAAAATTAGCAGTGGGACTGCTACTTGCTCATCTTATAGATGGATGCTTTTGGAACGACGATGTAAATAGCTAGTCATGCCGTTGGACACAGCGCGGAAGCAAATTGGCCAGTTCTAGCTCATAGCTACTCCAAATAATGGGATTATATTTTCGATTATCCCATATTATTCTCCTCGTCATTAGAAAGTGGAAAAGAATAGATCTTGAAAAAAGTACCCTTATTTGGCTATTGCCGCCCTAATTTTTGAGTTACTGAGTAATGAATACTTTATCCGCATTGACCTTTTCACGGAGCTCGGTTGGTGACTAAACTGAATCTCTACACTGCAAGTATGTGGAAGCCCCGAAATGGTTGATAACTGATGGTGTAATCTACAATATCCCGTTTGCGAAAGGCTTTCATTTTACCTTTTTCAACCGGTGCGTAGTCCGTGATGCCGGTTTCGTTTCATTTCGGTACTCATTTGCAAACTCTAGTGATCGAAACTCCTGAGTATTTGCGCGCACTACACAATTGTGCCTTGTGTTTATCCACTTGGTTTCTATGTGGCCAACCAAGCGGATGAAGTGTTTATCTTTTATCATACCTGCTGTTATTCACTCAAGTCCATACTGCTAACCGAGGTGCAAAACATTTCCACTGTTTCAGGGTCATGCGAAGTCTTTTCTAATCTGATCGGAGCCAGGGGGAAGGACGTACTCTATATTGGCGATCATATCTACGGTGATATCCTCAAATCGAAGAAGACAGTCGGCTGGCGAACTTATCTTGTCATCCCAGAGTTAGCCAATGAGATATACGTGTGGAAAAAGAAGAAATCTCTTTTCGACCGTTTAGAGGAATTAGATAACCGTCTGGAAGGTATCTATAGGTCAGTCATGCCATGTTTCTCTACATCTTCTATGTATAACCTAAATATCCGATACATCAGGACTGCTCTCCTCTCATTTTTTGTCTATCATGCGTGTAATGCAAGCCAACCCTTCGATAACTCCTTTGGACCACTATTGGTGCCCAGCATTACAGAAGATCCCACAGAATGACTGTTAGTAAACCCATTTTCAGAGATTAATTCATACTCAGCTGCCAGTGGGAGTGAGTTGAGCGTTGGCTAGAAAATCACACTGTGCAGTTTAAGTGAATCATTCCAAAAATGCATTCTTCTGGGCGAAAATTATTTAGGAATTGGTTTGGAAAGCGTTAGGTTGGTAATAAAGTCATTGCGCTTTTTAATCTTAAACTATAAATGCAAATCTTTTGGCTCAGAAATAACCTTCTTATGCAAATTAAAACTTTTCGAAGTGACACACTTATGTCAGTGGCATACTAGTTTATTTCTTTCGGGTGAATATACTTCCGTGGTTCGGGTGGCCATGAAATCGTAGGAGGCGGTGTCAGCATCTCATTGGATTTTAAAACTTTTCTCTGGTAAGAAGTTATCCAAGTACTTGGAAATGTCCTCCTCTGTAAGCTAGAGGTCAGGGGAGTATGGTGGATGAAGCAAAGTTCCGTAGACTAGCTCCTGCGGTTTTCGCAGGGTTGTTTGTGCGAGGTGCGACCGAGCGTTGTCATAGAGAACAATTGGTCCCTATCTGTTATCAGTGCCGGGCATCTAGGTTGAAATCTTCTGTGATGTTCGACAATCTGTTGACAATACTTCTCAACTGTATTGGTTTCGATTGGATGCATAAAGCTCTGATGTATCAGACCACCCGCAGACAAGCAAACAGTCGCCATAACCAATTTTGGGTTCAATTTCGGCTTTGGAAAACGTTGTGAAGCTTGACCCGGTTCCAACCATTGTGAGGCTGATCGTCGATTATCTTAAAGGATCCACTTTTTAGCAGCAAGTCTCAGTCCTGTCGAGAAACGGGTAGTTTTTATTGGACAGGTGAAAGGCAAATGATAACTCAAAACAACAACTTATTTGATTATCATTCATATCGTGCGGAATGCAGTTATCAAGCTTTTTCAACATTCCAATCGCTCGTAAATATTTTAAAACTGTCACATGCGCTATTGCTAATCCAACAGCAAGGTCTCGAATAGTTTTATGCGGATTTGCTTTAACTAGGGCCCTGCATTGATGCTTATTTTCTACCAATGACCGTCTAACCCAATCTTCATCTTCAGGTCTATCGTAAGCTGTTCGAAAGTTTTGAAATCACCATTGTGCAGTACGGTTGTTAGTGGTTCTAACACCAAGTACACTACTGGTCTCATAGGCTGTTTCCGCTGCATTTCGACCAAGTTTAAATGGATACAAGAAAAGCATGCCAATTTGTCTTCGCTTCATGTTATATTAAATGTACGGTGCAGAGGTTAAATTGCATTTCAGAGCTATACTCTCGTCAAAATTAGATAGAGAGCAAAACAAGCTTCCAAATAATATACAAGGGAACCTTTTTTTAAATTATTTAAATACACAGCTGTTAAATCAAAAGATAAAAAACGCAATACCCTTATTACCAACCTAATATTGTATATGTTCCGTTGTAATGTGCTAGCTATCACGGTAATAACAGAGCTCATGGCGGTTGAAGTTCTTTTGCTGCAACTCCAACGGGTTTATATAACTCCAACAACTAGGCAATTGAGTAAGGCCTGAAAATGTTACACATAACCTGCACTGTTTGACCCGCAGTAGCTCACAATCCATCTTCTACAGGATGCTCGCAGTAGCCCCATTGTTTAGTGCGTTTATCAGTGGATGATAGTTGTACTGCAGTTGTATCCTACTCCGGCAATTACTAAACCTTTAAGTAGGTAAGCCACATCGGGCGTGACTGCTATTAACATATCCCAAGATGCCATATCTCACGAGTTGCTCCCAAGACCGGCGGTCCAGAGCAGGTTAACATACCCACGATCGGCTCGATAAAAATGCCCAAAGAGACACCCGTAGGTCAATTTTCTAGACCAAACACGAGCGATTGCAGGCCCATTTTACATTCTTTAGGGCCCGCAAAACAATCCAAGGTACCAGCCATAATACGCAAAGCGATATTCGTTAATCAGAACCACAGTGAGTTAACCGTCGTGTGCACTAACGTTCCTGATTCAAGGTCTGGCACAACAAAGGGCAAGTTGGTACATAATTGCAACCAGTGGAATTCCGACTGCGATGCCATGGGTATTCGGGTTGAACCAACTATGCTACGTTGCGTAGCGCATCACCCAATTTTAGTGCATTACGGAAAACCTCGATTTCCTTGAGTAACCTTGAACTCAACTAAGACAGTAACAGTCCTAGTCTCAGCAGTTCATCTTCGAAACTCATGGAGTGGGGTACACCTACTACCAGATATTCCTTGGAAAGGGCGGTCAAAGTAAAAAGAATACCAAGGCGGCATTTCCACGAAGGAAAGCAACAAAAACGTATTTGTACGTGGTGTTTCTGAACTACTGGCTTTTTTGATCACGAATCGCAAGAACATGACTGACAGCAGTAGTGCTACATCCGCCTTGCACTCTCTCGGGACGACCTTATTACTAAATCACTAACGAGAATTCCTTCAGCCTTGATACAGAAGCAAATGTTGGTAGCTCAGATTGTTCATCTGGTGGTTTGAGTGTGCGTTGAGCTCAGCGGTTTGGCTGTAAACGTTTCTTCACCACCCTAGTTGACATTGTCAGTGCGCGTTTACGTAGCGGAGCGACGCGGCACAAAGCGTTAGTGATTGCGAGTGATCGATCTTCTAACCGTCAGTCTGAGTTCGGATCGTTCGACGGGCACATGACCATCGAAATTGATCTCTGATGCTCGCGTCGTAACGTACGAGCGCGTGCCTCTTCGGTTCTCGTCGTCGTTTGATACATTTGTCCGGCGTTCTGTTACGTTAGCTTTAGTCCACTAATTCGGTTATCCTTCATACGTAACGCTACACATCTAACATCTATTTCAACGCGTCCGTTTATTGAATTGTCCTTCCTCTCCAAACTACAAAGGCTGCGGTCCAAAAATATTGCAAGTCGTGTTACACTCCAAAGGAATGGCCGAAGTCCTATTGGAGAGCTGGTTGAAGCACCGCTCCAGGTTATCAATCAAGATTAGGCTAAATAAAGCAGGCGCACTGCCACTCTTTGTCAGCAGTTCATTGGAATTCGCAACCTCAATAAAATATGTGCCTCCACAATTCTGCAGTGCGGTAGACAATATAGCATTCGCGACACCTGACGGGATAACGAGGCACATGAAAGAACATCGCGATTTGGGATCCGCCGCGCTACCATGATGACTGTTTGAAAGTGATTAACCAATACCCCACATAAAAAACGATTAACGAGCGCCTGACGAACAGTCGACTTATAAGTAAACACGGATTCGTTGTCTACCTAGACGCTTCTAACATAAAAACTATCATGTTTGTATACTAACACTCAAGGCCTTTTTAGTAACTTGGCCGAACTTAAAGAACGCCAGGTGTCACAACCGCGGGATCTCATTATGATTACGAAGACTTGGTCAAGCCTTCTGATGAGATTCTGAGGTTAATTGACCAGGTGTGTCGCTGTTTAGTAATGGCAGAGCTGGTGTGATAGTGGCGTAATTCTGTATTACCAAGCTAACCTCTCTGAACTTATTCATCTCCCAGAGATCCGTGCCCCAGATTCGCTTTGGTGCCGGCTGTGGTTGCGGAACATAGACACAAGTATATAGCTGTGATCTACCGTTCAGCAAACTCTAGTGTGAAGTGTACATTAGACTGAATCACGTTCTTCAGGTTGCTTTGTGCAAGCCATGCAGTCACATTATCATCACAGGCAACTTTAATGTGCGCGAGCTGGAAATAGCGATGACCGATAGTATGCAGTTCAAAGCCTGGTTACATGAAGTTAATTCCAGCTACCCTCTGTACAACCACGTGATCTCTCTCACTAGATTTCGTACTGCAAACAAGAAGTCGATACTTGATCTTGTGTTTATCAACGAGGAATTCATGGTCGACGGAATTATTACAAGCACACCACTGGGTCGCAGTGACCACTTTACTATGTATGTTGTGCGGAATGTCCTTAGGAAGAGGATGATAAAGTATATATTGTCACGCACCGTGCTTATTAAGGCGGTATCTTGGACACTTTTAAATGACTTCTCATCAGAAGTCGCCTGGGACACTTTCAAAAGGACATTTAGCACAGTGGTATTGGAGGAGTCTGAGCAGAAATCCTTACATCGCCAAAAGAGAAGGAAGCCATTTCTGAAGAACAGAACACGTAAACGCATCTCCATGAGGGACTTATCATGGTGAGCTCACAAAGACTCGCCGAAGTCCAAGACCTGGACGGCCTATGTGGCACAGCGTAACTTCTGTGTGACGTTGATCCACGAGGACAAGTTGCCGCATCAGCAGGAGTTAATGAAGAGGTTCTGCGCAAACAGTAACTCCTTATACAGGCATGTCGCTTGGTGCGACTCGGAATTCCAGCACTGGACACGACTGAGGGGTGCACGCGATCAGGTATGGAAGCAGCAGGTCTCTTACGGTTCCATTACTCACATACTTTCTAGAGGGTAACGGGCCCAACGGTTAGCCCTATTTCGATTGTCCCACCGTCAGTTTCATCCAATCTTAATTTTGCTGCAGAAACTGTTTTCCCTGCGTATTCACAGCTGTCCTGGCCTCGACGACTTTCGACCGAAGGCTTTACAGACAGTAGCCAGTGATCTAGCAGAATCACTTGCTATATTTTTTCAGCGCTGTATGGAAGAGAACCATATTCTAACAATAAAGAAGCGAGGGGTCCTCGCTCCTATTCATAAGGGAGATAGTCTCACTGACCCAACCAGTCCCTGTCCGATAACGCTACGCCCTGTCTATCATCGCTGATGCAATCATGCAGTATCTGGAAGATCACCAGAGCAACATG